GCTCTGTGGAACACCAGTGCCAGGACATGCTTTGCAAAACAGTTTCATGGTCAAATAATTTGGGGAAACAATGTATTTTATCAGCCTTAAAGAGGCTCTCAACTAAAGAAACCTGTTTATTATTAACTTAATTCAATGTTTCTCAAATTTTGGGGGTAATACAAACCCCTCTTTTGAAATATTAACTACTAGTTTGTTAAATTAAATCAATGTTATAAGGAATACACTCTAGGAAATGTTGTTTTAAAAATTATAAGGAATACACTCTAGGAAATGTTGTTTTAAAACTAATAAATGCCAAGAGCTCACTTAAGCAAAAATATTAAGGCTCAGTTTTTGTATTACAGTTATGAACCATATACTATATGTTTTATTATAAATTCATTAGTACAGTGAAATTTCTAATACAATCACTATACTTTTTTTATCAACAGTCACAGTCAAAGTTCAAATGATTTGCAAATATAAGCCCTCTACTTAGGCACACATTTCAAGAAACACTGAATACAACAAAATCCTAGTACAACAGTACAATGTAAACAACACATCAGATAAATATAATTGGATTTAACCTCAGAACTACATTTTCATCAGAAAATCAAACTGACAGTCTAGAAACTCTTATCTGAACAACAATGACAATATGTATGGTAGTGCTCTGAACTAGTTTAGTGTTTCTTATTTTTCCAGAATACTATCCTACCTGATTTGTTCCACATAACAACATTCTGAGAAAGGAGCAAAAGCTATTATAATTCTGATTTAATAGTTAAAACAACAACAATAGAAGAACAAAAGCTCTCAAGTGATTTGACCAAGGATCACTTCCAAAATCCCTGTCTCCTAGCTCATACTCGAGAATTCCGCTACCCTAGCATGTGCTGGGATTTAAAGTAAGTCTTATAACCTCATCGGCACCTGGACAATCAATGACAATCTTTTACATAAGTACTAAATTTCTGCATACTCAGACAGCTGACACTTGAGTAGAATTTATCGTTTCATTTTTAAGGACCTGCTTTCTATTGTAAGCAGAAGTAGGTGTTTAGGCTTTTTAGAACTTCAGGGATAAATTTTGAACAAAACTATGTTCACTCATTTAAAAAAAGCCAGAGGAAACTAGAAACTCACTACTAACTACATTCAATCTAAAGCATTAATAAAACTGCAGCAATTAAAGATAAAATAACAAAAACTCGACTTACAGAACTTTAACCATGTGATTTAAAGCATATAAAATAACTTAGAGATTAGAGACAAACAAAAAATAGAACTAGGTTCTAGTTTGTAATACTGAATAAACTTGACTATTTTAGTCTTGCAATTTAGAAAAGAGTACAGCCTTCATAAAGACCTTTTCAGAAACAGATGTTTGATAAACACTGCATTTAAAAAGCACCTCTTATCAACTTATTTTTTGAACTCTGAGGCAAGTTTAATCTACATTCTAGATTAAGAGTGTAGACTTTGGATCAGATTTCCTGGGTTTAATTCCAGTTCTATCTCTTACTAACTGCGACAAACTCTGTGCCTCAATTTCCTTGTCTGTAAAATGGAACTAATAAAAGTAACCTATATCACAGGGCTGTGAGGCTTTGTCATTTTGGGGGATATATAATCTTGGACAATTCATTGAAACTCTCTGACCCTATTGGCTCACTTGGTAAAATAAAGATAAAAATAAGGATGATGGTGGTAGCAGTAATGATGAGAACTACACTTCACGTGATATTAAACAATGCACAGCACAGGTTACATAAACTTTAAAATGATGTGTGAGAAGTATTTTATGTGATACTGTAACATGCTTCTGAGAAATAAAAAATGGAAAATTGTACATAAAGTATAAATTCATCCATGAAAAACCAGAGGAAAAAAGTAAAAAAAAAAAAAAAACCACTAAAATATTAACAAGATTTGCCTTAAGTGATGATATTATGAAGTTTCCTCCTTTCTACTTTGTATCTGTCATATTTCCTAAATCACACCACACTAACATGTTCCTTTTACAGTTAAAGAAATGTAGAAACAAACAAAAAGTATAAAGAAGCATTTCAAAAATGATATGCTAACGCTGAGTCTTTGAGGGACCCGGCTTGGAAATACACATACATGTTTTTAAAAAGTCTCCTTGGGTGAATCTGGATTCACAAGATTTTAACAACTTGTGTGTGGAGTATCATGAACATAAAAGTTTAAGTATTACTGAGCATCACAGCTTTCAAAACATGTAGCATCATGTACCATTCACAACTCTTCTTAAATACTTTGGAGGTTAAGGAGATACAATGTAACTAACATGACAAAATGACAGATGTTTTAAATAAATATTAGAAATCAATTATCTCACTCATTTTCAGATGAAAAAACTGAAGGCTTTTCAACAGATTATGACTTATTAAAAAAAAGTAACTTATTCTGACTCCTCATTCAGTATTTTCCAACCTCATCTGATGATTCTTTATGATCAAATGGTTTATCAAACACTTCTTGCAAAGTAAATACCGATCAATTAACAATGTGAAATTTTCTATGTATTTTTAGTTCAGAAATGTCTCACAAGATTTTGTTTACGTAACCAAATTTAGCAAAAATGGCGCTTATAACTCATGTATTTTTTTAAAATATTTCATTTTTAATTTGGTTTTTTGTTTTGTTTTTATTTGGGGGTAATTAGGTTTATTTATTTACTTATTTATTTAACGGAGGTACTGGGGATTGAACCGAGGACCTCATGCATGCTAAGCAGGCACTCTACCACTGAGCTATACCTTCCCCCTGTGACTCATTTATTGGACTGCTAAAATTGAGGTTAACTGAGTAACTAAATTCATACACATTAATAAAAAACTCTTTGGATATATCAACATATAAAAAGTAAGAATTTCCGAAGCTTATCATTCATTATTCCCCTGAAGGAAGAACCCTTTGCCCCAAACTGGATCGGCCCCTCTACAACTTTATCCAAAGATTTTATTTTCCGTCCTCCACGATTTACTGGTTTCACATAAATATTCAATCATTCAACTAACTTTTTGAAAAAATCTACTACACAATAAACACTAAGTGGGCACTGAGTCTATAAATAAGTAAATCTGCCTTCAAATAAACATTCATTTTATTCAATGGAACACTAATCTCCAAAGTAGGGTGGGCAAGACTCGATTTACTGTTGGGAAAAGATCTTGAAATTTCTATTTTTGTTTTTGTTTTTTATCTCATACCTCTGAAGTTAACTTTTGTACATTTTATGATGTACATAAAATATGTGGTAGAATTGCAAATGCATATAATTTATAAATAAATATGCCTATATTGAGATACGCGGTCAACTTATTTTACCAACGGAGAGGCTTGACCAAACAAGCTGCTGAAAGACCACTGATTTCAAAAATGTCAATCAGTAAGGGTGATACGGCTATCTTTAAATAAAAGTTGTCCTCCCCGTTACTGAA